AAAAGCTGTGAGATAACAAATGTTTGCTTTGAGCCACTAAGTTTTGGGGTAATTTGTTTAGCAGCAGTATGTTAACAATACATATGTTGCAAATATTTTCCGAGAAAACTATAGTTTTGTTTTGTTTTTATTCACAATGATTTTTTTGTTTCTTTGTTTTGGTGAGGAAGATTGGCCCTGAGCTGACATCTGTGCCAGTCTTTCTCTATTTTGTATGTGGGATGTCGCCACAACATGGCTTGATGAGTAGTGTGTAGGTCCGCACCCAGGATCCGAACTGGTGAACCCTGGGCCACCAAAGCAGAGTGCACGAACTTAACCACTATGCCACCAGGTCAGCCCCTACGATGATGTTTGTTGTTCAGGAATTGGAAATTTTTATGAAGTCAAGTTGATCAATCTTTTCTCTTTTAACTTCTGGTACATCCAGTGAAATTCATGTGATAATTTTCTAAGTTGATAAAAGTTTTTCGATGAACTTTTTAATTAATTAACTGATTTGTGTATATTATATAAAAGTATTAAGAAAAAAATTGCTTACAGTATATTGCCAAAAGAAAACTGTAAAGATTTGATGTCATTCCTTTATTTTTTGGATATATTTTGCGATGGGGGAGATCAATTTTTAACACAGTTTTGCGTCTCTGTTTTTGCAGTTGATAATTATTCTTGCTATACTTATTATGTGTCGATCATAGGTCAGATGCTCTGCCAGCTTTAAAAAATGTGCATTTCTTTTCGTTCTTAAGAACACTCTATGGGATAGACACTAATATTGTCCTTATTTTAGAGATTAGGGAATTGATGCTCAGAGAGGACTGTTTGTTCCAGGTTTAGTTTCAGTAGGTGAGCCAGAATTGAAATGTAGGTCATTTTGATCCCAGGGCTGTTATGGGCTGCAATGTATCCACACCCTTCCCTTGCCCCTTTCCCAAACAAATATGTTGACGCCCTAACCCCCATGACCTCAGAATGTGACTGTATTTGGAGATAGGGCCTTTGAAGAAGTAACTGAGGTTAAATGAAGTCATTTGTTGGTGGGGGTGGGCCCTAATGCAACATGACTGGTCTCTTTCTAAGAGGAGAAGACTAGGACACAGACACGCACAGAGGGAAGACCACGTGAGGACACAGGGAGAAGACGGCCATCTACAAGCCAGGCAGAGAAGCCTCAGAAGAAAACACCCTGCCGATACCTTGATCTCAGACTTCTAGAATTGTAAAGAAATTGCCTCCAGAATTGTGAGAAAATAAATCTCTATTGAAGCCACTCAGTCTGTGGTATTTGTTTGGCAGCCCTGGCTAACTAATACAAGGGCTGAAGGGCCGACGTCGTGGAGTCTCCTGCCTCTTAACATTCACATTATTTCAGGAGCATGTGTGTGGGTGCGTGTGTGCATGTGTCGGTAAACATTCTTTGAAACCATCACCATCATTTTAATCACTAGATGATGTTACTTCGAGTAGGTATGCCAGAGTTAATTTGACTCTACTTCTGTGGTTGGATATCTGGATGGTTTCAATAGCTTTGAATTTTTAATATCTGTGCAATGAATGCCTGTGTTATGGAAATCTCCTCATTTGTCTTCTAGGTTCTTAGAAGGAGAATTACTTGGTCTAAGACAATAAGCGTTTTTAGGGCTCCCTAATTTAAATTAAATGAACGCATATAGTGCCTTTCCCCAAATAAACACTGTCAAAGAGACTTTATTCAAATCAAGATATGGCCCAGTCAATGCAAGCTATGAAGGTTTATGAGGAAAAAGAAAGATTAGGTTCTCTTGTTTATATTTACAATTGCAATCTCTTTAATACAACGTTGGAGAAACCGGAACAGTGAGGGAAGTCAGACGGATTTGCATGTCAATCCCTGGGTCTGTCTTTCATTTGCTGTGTGGCCTTAGGCAAGTTTATTAACCACTCTAGACCCAAGATTCCTTATGATGTTGTAGGGAACAAATAAGCAAATAAATGTAAAATGTTTACCACTATTCATATATACACATTTTAAAAAACAGAGTAAACAGGTCTTGCCAGGGTAAAGAGCTACCTACATAAGGTTAGCAGTATTCCCATGATGTGGATGGTGAGGTTTTAGATCCAGGTTTAAAGAAAACTCAATAAAAAGGACTTATTTTGAGACTAGGACTGTGCTAGACACTTTTATATTTATTATTTCGTATAATTCTCATCATAACTTTCCCGAACAGATATTATTATCTTTATTTAACAGATGAGGAAATCCAGTCTCAGAGAGGCTAAGTAACCTCAGCCTTAGTCTTAGGGTCACAGGGACACTAAATGGGCTAGCCAGCATTGGAGCCCAGTTTTGTTAAATTCCGAGTCCTATGTTCCTTCTCCGTATCTACATTGCTTCATCCAATTAAGACAAAATCCATTAATGCACCATATTTACATACTATTTGTAAAGCTATATACTAAATTCATTATTTATACTTCGGCTCTTTCATTTTCAATTTTGCTCAGATTTCGCCTTTAACACAGAATCTCGCTTGGTTCATCAGGTTGCGGTCGAGTGAGTTGGGCAGGAGCTAGGATGATTTAACTTTTGTGCTCATAAGGCTCTAGGATAGCTAGTTATAAATTTCTCCTCATCCGTTCCCTCAGAGCCCTCTTTGGAAAATAAAAGGATTGCAACCTGATCCTGCCTCCTGCTCTTTGATTCTCGTTGCATTCTTTTTGGATTAAGGGTGTCCAGTTTCCTTGGGAGGGAAAAAATATGGCCATCCAAGGGAGGAGAGTACAAGCCCCTTCAGTAAACTCCTTAATGGGAGTTTTTATGGGATGTATTTTCACCTCATTGAGCTTTTTATTTCACTAAGATTCTTTCATCCACCCAAGCAGGTGAAGAAAATGGGAGAATGAGGGCAGAGAAAAGAATAGCTTTAGGAACTTGAAAAGAAAGAAAAAACCAAGAGAAGCTGTCTCCACATTGTTTGCTTATAAGTTCTAACAAGCCATCAGACCAGAAACAAAAGGGCAAAAATTTATACTCTTGATGAGCAGTTTGGCATGTAAAGTAAGTCATTTATTAAGAGAACTGGCCAATTTATTTAGACATTCATTTCATCATTCATTTGTGCATCATATGTACACTCATTCATTCATTCATTCATCGTTTGATAGTTTGAGCGTCTATATTAGAATTCTTCTTTTTAACATGATCAGGACCTGTAGTTGACCAGTCAATCAAAAAGATCTATAAAGAAGGGAATGATTTTAAAAAATACATGTATAATTAATGTTTTTTGTTTATTTTTACTTAAAACTTAAGTTTATAAATTCATTCACCCATCTTCCGATACAAGGCATTTGTGTATTGGTTTTCATCCTCCTCTCAAAAAAAAAAAAAAAAGACACTCATAATCATGCGTCATTCATATTTCTAGTTCTAGTTTCTTTAAAGTGGATCAAGAGCTTAGAGATACTTTTGAAGAAATCTGATTTCAGACTTCCAACTTTTTACAACGTTTTTCCTCCAATGTTTTATGATTGTTTTGCCCAAAATTAATTCAACAAAGAATTTTAAAAACCAACTTACTTTTATCAAATTTTTCCAAAGAATTCAACTTAGGTTTCATAGAAACAATAATTTTTTTATATACTCAGATTCCACAGGTTTACAGGTTATTTCATTAAATTACACGTTAGTAATATTAGCTAACTTTGGCGGCTTAGGCTGTGTCAGGTGCTGTGTTCAGGGCTTGACCTGCATTCACTTACTGTTCGTTATAACCAGCCCATAGGCCAGTAATATAATTATCCCCATTTCTCAGGGGAGAAAATGAACTGGTTTGAGAAAAACATACAGATGACTCTTGGTGAGCATATATCTCAATGGATGGGTCCAGAAGGGTGTGATGTAACAGCATGTAGCCTACTAGCTGTAGGTCTTAGGTTTGTGGGCATCAGTCAATATGTGTGCACAAGCTGGGAGTAAGCCAATTAATCTGAATTTAGAAGGTGCAGTTAAGAGGACTTTTAGAGTCATGGAGGGAAGGATGGAGTAATGGAAAGAGCAGGCATTTTGAGGTGAAACCAACTTGACAATTATTGACAATTACTAGCTACTTAACTCCAAAAACCTCATTCCTCATCCATAAAATGTGAATAATTATACCTTATTGAGTTGTTTATTTTTCATTTATTGATTTATTCAACAAGCTTTTCTTAAGCACCTTCTAATGTGCCAGGCACTGTAGAAGATTTCATTAATGAACAAACAGTAAGTTTCTCTACCCTCATGGAGCACACATTTTGGTACAAGAAATAACTAGCTAAATAAGTAAGCAGAAACAATCAGAAGTGCTAGGAAGGAAAATAGGGTAAAATGATAAAATCAGAATATGAGGATTCCTTTGTTCATTCATTCATTTACTCATTCACATATGTTGTCAGCTAATGTTCACCGAAGGCTTATTATGTGACCCAGGCATTGGGCAATGATGAATAAGATAACATGGCAATTAAATAAGACGCTACAGCATCACAGATTTAAAGACGAATGGTAGACACTCCCATACCTGCCAGAAGCTCAGTCTAGCTGGGAAAATCACTGATCAAGTCTCATAGTACAATAAGCACTCTGTCAAAGGAAGTACAGAAACTATGGGAGCTCAGAGCACAGAGAGATTCTGTAGTTTAGGACAGCATACAGCATCCAATCAGCTCTCAGGATCATAGACGGACGACTAGAGCAGTGGGGAATATTGCTTCAGAAAACTGAGGCATAGCGAGGAGAAGTGACCTACCCAGGGTCTCATGGCTCGTGGACGCCATGGTTGTGTTCACAGTACATTTGAGGAAGCAGGTCTAAAATTGTGTGGGACATTGTGTAGTGCTTACGAAAGCTGCCTAGAGTGGAATTCGTGTTCTTAGTTATGTGTCTGAGCCTCTGGGACAATAAAACCCTTCTGACTCTTAGGTGCTTAGCTTAGTTTATCAGTAAGCTTATGTACTGCCTCTCCTTGTGTGTACAGGGGATGCAAAATCAAACTTTTGAGAGTCAGCAAGGGCAAGATTTCCAAAACCAAAGAGGCGAGGGAGACAGGCTGGCTGACGTTTTGAGAAATCTGAGTTGCTATCCATCTCCAAGAAATCATCCTGAAACCAATGGACAGGTAAGCCACTTGTTTAAACTCATTCATTTATTCATTCATTCATTTACCAAAAGCTCACTGAGCCCAGGCAATGAATCAGACACTCTGTTAAGTGTGGAAGTTACAGAGGTGAACAATACACATCCCTTCTCTAGGGAGCTGTTCCCTCACAGTGCTTAAAAGATGGCTGTTTTACAGAAGATGGTATCTATTACCCAGGTGGCTGCTGTTTTCCTGGAGAACAATAAGACTCTCTCTCTCAATGTCTCTGTGAAAGATGGAGAGAAGGGGGAGATGCTCATGTCAAGCTGGTTTATTACTTCTGAATACTGAAGTCCAGGCTCCAGCAGCACCCTTCAAGATGCATTTAGGAGATGTGCTAGAGGGCTACAGAGTTCCATAAAATGGGACCAAAGCTCTTTGGGTTAACTACCAAGAGCCCCATCTTTCAGGGCTCCTCATGCTCGGGGCCATTTTCCTGAGGGGCAGAATCTGGCAGCTGGAGCATTCCAGAGCCCGTGGCTCTTTGTTATTTCCCCTTGGAGGGTAATGGAAGTAGGAAACAGTAAGAACGATGGAATATTAAAGGTTGGATGGAATCTTTAAGATCTTTGGAAATACTTTAATCATATATTCAATGAAAACTTACGGAGTGCCTGCTCTGTGCCGGGCACTGTTCTAAGCACATGGGATAGAACAGTGAACAAAATGGACCAAAAGACCTGTGCTCCTGGAGCATGTATGCTAGTTGGGGGAGGAGGTGAGACAACAAATAAGTAAATTGTGTAGAATTTACACATTGCAAAAAGTAACACAGAACAGGTGAAAGAGATTCAGGAATGCTGGTGAGGGGAGAGAAATTGCAGCATTGAATTGAGTTCGGACATCTTGAAGCAGAACACCTGTAGGACTTCGTCAGCTGTGTGGGTCATTAAGGCAGTACACCTATATTCTGTATTGCCACCTTCCAAGATCATGGTAGGACCTCACTTCCCAGCCTCACGTGAGGCCAGGAATGATTATGTGACTTGTTTCGACCAATAGAATGTGAATAAAGGTGATGTGTGTTCCTTGTAGACAGAAGCCTTAAGAGCCGTCATTTTGCCTTGGCCTCACACCCTCTCAGGATGGGGCCTTAATCAGCTTGGGGCCCCGAGTGACAGCAATAATCAGAGCTCCCCCACTGACTCACACTGGATGTGCAGCAGGAAGCAGAAGCAAACTTTTGTTGAATTAAGCCTCCTGGCCCAACCTGATTAACACATGCATTGTAATTCTCACTTGAATTCAGATAGCCTGCAAAGGATGGTCTCATACATTCATTGCTGTAAGAAATTAATTAGAAAGTCATATACATTTCAAAACTTAATGACAGAAAAAATAATAAATTAAGAGAAATTCAATATTTTATTTGATCAAGATCAACAAAGATAAAGCAAAACATTTCATTTTATAGTTTTAATTATAAATTAATACCTACTAAAAGCCTAATATATTGAAAACCAAAATACTCTCTTTGATTTCCTGTTTATATTGTAGACTTTGGAGTCAGAAACTCTAGGATTCAATTCTTGGACCTATCACGTGCCAGCGGGGAGATCTTGGGCAAATGACATCACTTTGCTGAACTTCCATTTACTTACTTGCAAAATGAAAACAGTAACACCTTTGAGATGTGGGGTCCTTATGGTTAAATAAGATAAGGAAAGGGCTCTTAGTTGGGGACAAGGTACTGATGGTTCAGGTTAGCAGTAGTGGTAATTAGGAATGTTGCTGCCAAATGGACAGTGACATCAGCAGCGCCGTTAAGAATATTTCTATCCTTTTGTTGCAGCAAAGCAGGCAGATCCTGTTAAGCACATAATATCATGAAAACACGAATCACATATTTTACAAATCTTTTGGTACTCTTAAATGAGGTTGCTTTATAAAACATTGGTTGAAAAGGTTGTTAAAGGTTTTTTATAACACAAGATTATAACACCTAGACCCACAACCATCGAATAAATGACTTACATGAATGTAACGATTCATGGTTCAATGCTAACTAGGGACAAAAGACCTGATTGCACGTCAAGCACCTGTGCCTCAGTGGCCCTCATACAGTTTCCTGGCACTTTTGTTATGTTATAGCACTTTTTTTTTTTTTTTTTGGTTCAGCATTTCTTACAGTCACATTGCTACAAAAGAATAAAAGATGTATGTGATCTTGTGTGTGTGTGTGTTTCCCCTACTTTCCCAACCTGTTCTAAAGTGTGGTAGTATTTGGGCTTTTCTATCTTTACTCTTAGGAACAACCCATGGTCTCCCTTTTTCTTCTCCTTTGCCAGTTGTGGAAATGTGTTATTATGGATGTGATGGGGTGGAGGAAATGTTGGGTCCCAATAATCCAGGAGGTAAGCAGCAGGACTGGGGAAACCGAGTGTACTTTCCAGGGGGCTGTACATGGCAAGGAGGGCCGTGTTTTGGGAATAAGGCTTTGGAAGAGGGCATCACGAGAGGAAGATCTGACAAGATGGCAGAGTCCTGTCAAGGGAGAAATGATCTTCCTCTGCTATGATATCCCAAGTCTGCAGTGTAGTCTGTAAATTCACCAGATGTTTGACTTCAGTGGCTTCTTTCTTTCTTGGAAATTGGCAGAGAGTATAACTGATATGACAGGTATGAAAGTGTGAAGGGAGATTGATGGGACTAAAAGGAAGAGAATTTGGGGAAATCATAAGGAAGACCCTGGATTGAAATATGTTTATATATTGAAGGGGTGGGGGAGTTGAGTCAGGTTTACTTGCGGCTCAGAGCTCCTAAGGGACATCTCAGTTACACTCTTTACAGTACTTTCACTTTATATACTCATTTCACATTCTGTCACAAAAACAAACAAGCAAAACTATTAGGCCCATATGGCAGGGATTTCTTTTCTCATATTGCAAATAAGTAAACCAGAGCTTGCTTTTATTTTAAATAAGTTAAGATGTGTATAGCTAGAGAAACCACTAAAAAAATGTCAAAAATATACTGAAAAATTATTAAAGAAATGAAAATGCTACGTTAAAAAATATTCACTAAATGAAAATGAAAGCAGTAAAGAGGAATAGAGGAATAAAAAAACATGAGACATATAGAAAACAAAGTAAAATCATTTGAAAATATGGTTTTCAAAGCTAGATGTTTTGGGGCTCATCTCTCGGGTGCAGGTCTTAAAAGTTGGGGTGCCCCATGTGGGGCTCAAGCCGTTCGCTCCTCAGGGAGTAGCTCCAGGTTTTGAGTTCCCTCTGGATTGTGGGTCACTGTGCCAGGAACGGGATTTATGGCAACTTTGTGTCCTAGCCTCTTCTACCTGTTGTGATATGGGCCTCCTCTCATTTGCCTGACAATGTGGAGGAGTTGCTCAGACAGTTTTTTTTTCAGAGGAAGTTTTTCCATATGTGGCTGCAGATTCGGTGTATACCTGGGAGGACGTGAGCCTAGGAGCTTCCTACCGGGCCATCTTTACTGGCTCTGAAGTGTTTTAAGTAAAGAGATCAAATAGATAAATGCCTCTAAAAGCTGTGTAGAGGATGGATCCATGGTGGGCAGAGGGGAGCAGGAGTGGTTAAGACCAGCTATGAGGCTTTTGTAGGATGCTCTAAACTAGGTCAGTAGGTCAGTAGATAAAGGAGAACAAACACATAAAGAGGTGATATCATTAAGATTTGGTGACTGAGAGGAAGTAGGTGATATTCGGATAGATGATGATGACTTTGACTGAGATGAGAAACATAGGAGGATGGGTGAGTTTAATGATCTTGAGAAGCCTGTGGTATATCAAGCTGAAAGTGTCAAATGCACAATTGAATATAGGACATAGGTGAGGTGTTGGCATGGAAATGCAGACTTAGGAGATATCAGCATAGAGATGGTTGCTAAAGTGATGAGAGTTGATTTGTTACCCAAGCAGAATGCCTATGGAGAGAAGAAAAGTATACTAAGGACTTAATTCCATTATTTGAAAAGTGGGAAGAGGAGAAGGAGCCCATGAATAATAATCAAAAGGAATGACTAGGAGGAAATGAGGAGTATCAAGCAAGGGAAAGAGAGTTTCTAAAGAGCTGTGAGTAGGCGACAATCCAATGCAGTCGGGAGTCCAGTTAGAATAAGACTGAAAAGTGTTCCTAGTTTTGGCAATATTTATGGTCACTGGAGACCTTCCAAGGAGCAGTTCCAGTGGAGTAGTGGGAGAAAAGGGAGATTGTAGTAGTCTGGCCAGTGAATGGGAGGTGAGAAGTAGGGACAGCAAGTGAAGAACACTCTTTCTGGAGCTTTCTAGAAGAAATGTAGAGTAGAAATAGAGTCGCTGTAGGAGGAGAATGTTAGATCCCAAGTGTTTATATTCTAGTACAGAAGGCACTTGATTCTCTTTATAGGGTCATGGGAGAAAGCCCATAGGGAATGGAAAACCTAGAAGACCAAAGGTAGAGGCCAGAAAGAAGAGGAGGAACAGAAACCATGAGGAGCGCAGGTGAAGGGTGGTTGTGCAGAGAAGGGGCCACAACTCATATCCTGAGGGCTGAATAATGGCCCCCAAAGATGTCTAGTCTCAGTCTCAGAGCCTGCCAATGTTACCTTTTATGGCAAAAGAGACTTTGTAGATTTGATTAAATTAGGTGGATCTTAAGATAAATGATCCTGGATATTTTAGGAGGGCTTTAAATGTAATCACAAGGATCCCTTTTAAGAGGAGGAAGAAGGAAATCTGACCATAGAAAAAGAGAAGGCAGTATGACTACACGAGCAGTGATTGGGTGATGTGGCCATAAACCAATGAGTGATGCCGGCCACTAGAAGCCAGGAGAGTCAAGGAATTGATTCTCCCTTGGATCCTCCAGAAGGAAATACCTCTGTTCACATCATGACTTTAGCCCTGTAAGACTGATTTTGGTCTTCTGACCTCCAGAACTGTAAAAGAATAAATTTTTATCACTTTAAGCCACTACGTTTGTACTAATCTGTCACAGCGGCAATAGGAAACCAATACATCTGAT